CGAAGTATTTATCCGAAGAAAATTTACTGAATTTCTTTAATTAAGAAATATATTCATTAAAGATTCGAAATTTTGAAAATCTTCGTAAAACTTTTGAGATTCTCTTAAGATATATTGCGATCTAAAATATCTTTTAATTTAAATCGAATTTCTACAAAATGATCTAAAATAGTTTTATTTGCTTTATTTAAATTATCGTCAAATCTCATTATCTTTTTTCAATTTTAACTTCTAATTTATTGCATACTATTTATCATATTTCCCGAATAGTATCTAATATTAGAAATTTTTTCTAAAGAATATCTTGGCAATAAATTCATTTCAGAATTATTCTTCAATTTCTTTGATCAATTCATATCAATCTAAATCTTTCAAAATTATGATTAATCTAGATATTGACAAAATCTATTTTATATGAAGACTAGGCCTTGAATCCGGCAAAATACGAGATAAAATACAAGATAAATTTCGAGACAATATATCGGACAAAATTAGACTTCAGACCAGAATCTCGGAATATCTTTTGGAACCCTATACAAATGAAATGCTTAAACATCGACAAACCGCTATCAGATTTTCGGACGATTTTTTGATGAGCCTCTCTAATTTAGATATCGAGGCAAATCTACCGATTATATCTTTAAAGAGTGCCGGCATGATATAATATATTGATATATGGCGATCTGGCAGCAAGCCCGATTTTATTCTGCACAAGATGACAGCATTATTCCGTCCATTCATCGTTCAAGACGGGTAGGCTTTGCAAGGAGCTCAAATCTGCCCTCCAATATGAAATTACGAGAACCATTCGAGATAGAATTTCTTACAAAATTCGTTAACCGCTCGGGGACCACACGAGAAATACTCGATTTTCTTTCGGATATAAGGCCGGCCGGGATACTCGAAGATCGTTCGGGGACCAGTCGTAATTCGCTCGAAACCCAATTCGAGGCCATTCGGGCGAGCGTTCGGCAAGCACCGCTCGAAAATACTCAATTGCCCCGAAATTAACACAAGCTCTTAAAATTCATAGAAAGACCTAAGCCGATATTTACGCCGAACTTCGGGCTAAAAACATCTTAAATAACAAATTAAATAAATCAATTATCTAAAGATTTTACTATCGTAAACAGTAATATCCATTTAAACATCTCAATTTAGATATTATAATTCATTTCAATTTAAACCGAATTATTCTGTATATATATTCAATTCTATAATAATTCTTTTAATTTCCAGATAATATGCATGTCGACAATATTTGTCGAATTTATCATCAACCAATTAAAAAAAATACAATATAAAATCATCTATTAGTTTATATATAATTCTTCAGAGCGTTCATAAAATACATAGCAATGACAAATAATATATTCAATGTATTTATATCCCAAGTGGAGGGAGTCTTTTAATATTCGATCGAACCAGCAAATTTATGTTGTTCGTGGTAAAGAGAACAATGCTTGCTCTGTGCACAAGCTTCAACCTTTTCGATGTCTCGTATCAATCGTTGACATCTGAACCCATATCTTTTCTGTCGCAACCTAATACATGTATATACAAACGAAATAGTACATATATATACAAACGAAATGGATGTGTTTACATAGCCAAGAGAGTCTTCTGCCAATGGCAGTTCCAGATATTCGGAAATAGCGCTGTGGACGGAAATTCGCGAGCACGCAGGACGGTTTTGACTTCTCATCTGCTCGATGCGCACAAATGCAGATCTTGCTGTGCTGTGCCTGGAACAAGAACAACATATCGGCTAGTTCTGCTCTCTTTGTCATCAGTTGATTCAACCCGAGCAGCGAACATTATGTCTTGTATCGCGACTTGAAGTGACAAGCGCGTAGATAAGGGGGGCATCGGGGCATCGGGAGCCTTCAGGTGATGCTCAGGTTTTCAGACGAGCTTTGCGCCGAGCCTTGTTCTTGAACCGCCTTGCTGTCGCGCTGCTCGCATCGATGGCAAAGGGCAATGGGAGGCTCCTGATGGAGAAAAAACATGGCGAGTCAGGTTGGGAGCCATTCATCGTGGCATTCTTGAAGAGTTTAGGCATCAGATCTGCTCGGATGTTCGTTTCTGTAGCCTTTCAACTCATGGAGCAAATGGCCTGCTTCGCAAGTACTGAAATTGCACTCTTCAGTCCCTGCGAGTGATGCTAGAATGACCGTGCCGGAACTGTGCTGACCATGGCCCGCCAACGCACCCTGCTCTTACATCGACCCCACGACAGGTACAGCAACTCTAAGCACCAGGGATCCTTGTGAGGCCTTCCAGTGACCAGCGAAGCTCTGACTCACTGAGGTCCAGGGTCAAGTCCTGCGCTTAAAAGCAACGACTCAACAGCAAGAGCTCTGTCGCCTTGTTCAGTCACAGGAACCTCATCGTAGAGATGAGCAGCATTTCAGAAAATTTCAGAGATCTCGGAGCATCGTACATGAACCAGCAGTCCGTGGCAGCGTGACCGTCCAACTGAATAACCTCATGAGCCACAGATCGCAGTTTTGGCTGGAACATGTGGCAAAGGTAAGGGCACTAACTTTCAGCTATAGTGCGCAGAGGCACTTCGCACTCTCCCACGTGATGCGCGCAACTACTCACTGTTCACGTCTCGGTTGCAGGCGCTTGCTGACCGTCTTGAATGCAGCAAAACTCTCCTTGCGTAACTGAGTGCTCTGCAACTTCCAAGCTTCCGTCGGTCCGAATCTGGACTTGCGGCTCCTTTGCCTCCTGTGCTCGCTGGTGCCTGGCTTGAGCATAATTACTGTCTGTGCTGCGCAGACACTTGCTTCGCTCGGATGATTGCATTCTGCTATATTCTGCTTCAGCTTCATCAAAAATTGAAATCAAGGCAGATGAAGCTGAGCAATCAGTCTTGCTGCCTTGACAAAGGCAACCGCAGTAGTGAGCCAGTGCTACATACAGACCCGAGGAAGGTGTAGAAGTCATCCACAATATCCGATGCAAGCGATCAGACCTTGGAATCCCGTGCCGGGTGTTTCCTTTGCAGCCACGGATCTCGCAGCTTTGCGAGGCCACAGAGCTACCGGGCAGTGGCAGTCGCTTCCTGCCATTTCCACAGCACGGTGGAGAAGCGCGACAGCAATACGCCAGTTGAAGGCCAAATGACAATGTACCGAAGATGATTCAACATGCTCAGCTTGACTGTAGACTCTTCTTAGGTGTGGAGCCAGGTCGGCAGCAGGCCTGCAGAAATAGACATATGGTCTCTGAGAAGCCTGCCCAGGCAAGAGGTGCACCTGCCGTGGTTGGGAACCATGCATGACTCAAGAGACTCTGCGCTCAGCAAAGCTGCCTGGGAGACTGAGATGAGTGACCTTCTGGCACGTTTCTGTGTCGCATGCACTCCCTTCCAAGCTCTGTTTAATTGTAGCAGATACGACCACAAATGTCAAACATGTTCGCTGCAAGTTGGAACCTCTTCTAAACACCACTAGAGTGACTAGAGCCTGGCAATTCGGGCGTCTCTGGCCTCCACGTCAAACAGCCCGCCACTTCGAAGCAAAGCCTTGCGCCTGACATTTGGTCAAACCCGAGCAGTGGGAGTCGAAGTCGTAGTCGCAGTAGTAGTCGTGGTAGTAGTAATAGTAGTAGTAGTAGTAGTCGTAGTCGTAGTGGTGGTCGTGGTCGTGGTCGTGGTGGTCGTCGTGTTGGTGGTGGTAGTGGTGGTGCTAGTTGCGGTAGTAGCAGCACTAGTAGCAGCTGTAGTAGTCGTCGTAGTAGTCTTAGTCGTGGTCGTCGTCGTGGTCGTGGTGGTGGTGATCGTGGTAGTGATGGTGGGAGAAGTAGCAGCAGTGGCAGTAGCACTCGTAGAAGTAGTAGCAGCAGTAGCAATTAATAACTGTAGTAGCAGTAGCAGCAGCAGCAGTAATAATCAAAGTGATCAGTAGTAGTAGTAGTAGTAGTAGTAGTAGTAGTAGTAGTGGTAGTAGTAGTAGTAGTAGCAGCAGCAGCAGCAGCAGCAGCAGCAGAAGCAGTAGCAGTAGAAGTAGCAGTAGAAGTAGCAGTAGCAGTAGCGGTGGTGGTGGTAGTAGTAGTAGTAGCAGCAGCAGTAGTGGTAGTAGTCGTAGTCGTAGTCGTAGTAGTCGTAGTAGTCGTCGTAGTAGTAGTAGTAGTAGTAGCAGCAGTAGTAAAGTAGTAGTAGTAGTAGTAGTAGTAGCAGCAGTAGTAGCAGTAGCAGTAGCGACAACAACCAACAACAACTACTACGACGACTACTACTACCACTGCTGCTGCTACTGCTACTTCTACTGCTCCTTCTACTGCTGCTACTACGCCAGAAACGTCACCACGCTTGCAGTCCAAGACTGCCACTCACCAGTGAACTGCTCTTTCCACGTGCTGGCTCAAGTTTGCATCTTGCGCGACCTCTCCGCTCCCCAGGCCACGGACACCAGCACGCCGTCCAGTTTCCTAGTCGGCTCGGGACCGCATCTGGAACGCTGTTTGGAGTGTGCCCTACATCGACATCGCATCCAGCCGAGTGTAGACTAGACACTGCTGAACCACCCTCGTGCAGGCGGGGGTCATGGCCCCAGGTCAGCAAGGAGACACCACGAGGTGAAAGTTGCAGAGCCATGCGCAGAGCTGAAAATATGTGCCTTTGACACATGCTCTCTAGCTCTTGGAGGCCAAGCTGCAGAACCCGGTGCAATTCTCGCAGCGCCGCCGCCCCACGGGGGTCTAGCATATCGTCCTGGCACGCCGCCGGGCAAACTGTCTGAAAACTGTACTGAGTGTGGTCGAAGTGAAGCACCGACAACACTCTTGCAGCGCTTGCAGCAGAAATGGACAAAAGCAGCTCGAATGACAGCCAGACACCATGAGATACCCTGAACGAAGGTTCGCAGAACCCTTCTTCCGTGACTCGAAGGTGCTCCTTCGCCTGGCAAAGGATGGCATCAAACCTTCGGCAGAAACTCGGGCAGCCATCGAACGACTAGCTAGAAAGTGCTCCTGCTGGTGACTACTTCTCCGGCTGAGTCCTATAATGGCGCCAAGATGCGCCAAGGCACGTAAACTTTTCCAGTACCATGTCGAAGTGAGCAGATGCCAACCTTCACTCAAACAGTGTGGTCGAAAGCTAGGCTTAGGGTTCGGGAGCTGGGACCGCAACATGCGCATGGGAGAAATTAGCACTGACCAAACATAGAAACAGCAACTATGCACTGTTCTGCTGACACCGTGCTTTGGCATTGGATTGGCCCACCTCCCCTGCTGTTTAACTGCCATGGATAGTCGAATCCACGCTGCTGTCACGCGCCTGGATACCTGATAAAACCCCAATGCGAAACGCAGTGTAACCATTTGCAGGTTTGGAGATGCTTGGAAACGGTTTAGGACCAGGACAGTAACAAGCATGCACGACACCACGCACAATCGCCAGGCTACTGAGACAAGTCCGTGAGATCCATCTGCTGCCACTGTACACCTCACAGGCTGGCCCAATGTCCGTTTGTCGATTGTAAACATGGATGAGACCAGGGCAATACGGAGTACTGGCTTTAAACACTTGCAAGCTTCCAAGTCCAAAATTGACCCTCCGATTCGCTTTCGATGGGTCTTGGCTTGCGTTTTGCGCCGCTTTGGTGCTTTCGTTCTACATACTACTTCCGAGCCTGTGAGCATTGCATCCCCCTCCGTGCTCAACGCTGCACGATCCGACCAACGGTCTGCCATGAGCTTCACGACGACCTGGGTGGGTGCTGGCAAACCAAGGGTAACCAATCTGTACCACCAGAAGCCAGTACCGATGTGCACACAGTTTCTAACACAAGTATTCCAGGCGGAAGGGCATCACTGAAATCGATGTTGAGGATGCTTCCTCAGTGGGATGTATGGCACTACAGCCGCATGCACAAATCGTTCTTCGGACTGCAGCCAATCTGCTGAAGCCATCGCGCCACAAGCCATCGGTGACGTTGCTCGTTCCGCAGCCTGGCAGATGTGGAAGCCAAAGTCGGGGAATACTTCTGTGACTTTAATGGCTGCACTTCGGGGCTCGCTGTCCCCGACGCCTGCGTGTAGCACCTTAGACTGTCCGCGCCGAGAATCGAGGGGCATCAGGGACAGCAGCAGCGTTCGCAGATCCTTGAAAGGCAAAGCATCACGCACCGGCCCGAACAGCACCTAGGCAGCAAACCCACGGACTTCCCAAGGATCGTTTCAAGCAGATCCCTCGAATCTTGAACGTGAAGGAGCTTGGGAGGCTGAACCATACTGGCCAACAGAACATCATGTGGCAAAAACTGACTTGCGGGCTCCTCATAGCCGTATAACGTATCGTAGGCACTCCTGCAACATAACAAACCAGCATGGAGCAACCGAGCAGTCAACCGTGGACTCCTCCGATCGTCGTAGAAATCATCCCAGTATTCCACGGAATTTGGAGCGCAGTCCGCCCCGGCCATGGCAGGCAAATCCCACTTCTAAGGTGTGCACATGATAGAAACTTTACCAGTAGCAAAAAAGAAGAGCCTGACTGGCCAAAAGCACTGTCAAAGTGCCAAGATTCCATTGGCCTTTCCAACACCTCCTTGATTGTATGGGAGCCTTTCCAACAGCCTTTCTGAATCTCGACCAGCAGGTACGTTCTCATCGCCCTTCAGGTTTGATGGATTTAGGTCTGCACAACCCAGCCGTCACTTCTGCCACTCTCCCAGGTCCAAGCTGGCTACGAAAAGGGAATGCCGATCAAGACAATGTACTGCAAAATAAAATGTACTGCAAAATAAAAGAACTCTATCTAATACAAGACAATGCAGTATAATCGGAAAACCATACTCATACCCACACCCATACCCATATAATTCTAAACTAGGCTATACTATAGACACTATACTAATGCTATCTAATGCTGTACTATGCTATACTACAACATGATGTATTACATAGAATACGATATAACTGATATAACATAATCTAGGTGTCAAGAAATTATATTTAACATAACATAAAGCATGTGATTTGTAAACCTATATAGATGGTATGTACTACATATAATGTACCGATCCACCAAGAATAAGTCGATGAAGGACCCGTGCTAAGATGTGGGCACGACGAACTATGGTGACACCGTGACAATGAGCACTTGTCTCCGCATCGCCAACGCCCTTCTGAAGCTGTGGGGTCGTGCTCACAAACTGAAGTTTCGCCCTGTGCAACGCGACTACTTTGAGAAGCGCAGTATGGGCAGGTTCAGGCTGGCAATTGTTTAAGTGATGCTGCCATACCTTTCGCGAGAGGCTGCTTGAATTCAGCGTCAGCACCATCATCCCGAGATCCCTCCAACTCTGTTTCTGACGAACCTAGATTCTCCCGAAGTCTAGGTCGAACTGGAAAGGAAAGAAGATGCCGGGATGAAAGCTGGCGAAAATTAACCCTCTCGTCCTGCCGCTGCGGCAGCCCCATTTTGAGCTGCGGAATCGGCTAGGACTTAGACAGCTGCTTTCTCTCTAGGGATTTGCCCTTCCAGCCATCGATCATGGCCTGAACCTCAGAATGAAAATGACGATGCTCCTCATGATCATGATGAGTAAGCATCGACGCGGAGCTGCAAGCATTGATTATTAATCTTTCGACTGACCTTCAAGCGTCTGCTTTCATGTGGCGAGAACAGACCCAAGAACTCCCCATTGAGCTCATGACGCCGCTGCCGTCCAGCTCCTTTGCCATCTTCCCGACGTAGAAACCGCCTCTTAAAGTCAAGAAAGCGAGAACGCGAGATCAGGATCTGCGAACAGCGGCCTGAGTCTGGAATATCAAGGAGAATCAAGGTGGGCGTGTCGGAGGAAAGCGTGCGCACCAAGCTTGGGCCTCAGAGGTCCAATTGTCGCCAGATGTCGCGAGCATGCAAACCGAAAGGCCCAAGCCGGCAGGATCGGCGCTCTTCTCCACCTTCGAAACCTCCACAGATCTCAAGAGCACATGGTGATAGTGATCTGATCGTCGGTTTCTGCGTCAGTTCCGTATCTAGGGCTCTGAGGCAAGCAATGGCAAGCATCTACCGGGCCTGCGACACGCTCTCAAGCCCGCACAGTGCTCGAATCTGGGTGGACACCTCGCCATAACAGCATGCTGATCCGTGTGGAATCAGCTGCAATGCTGAAACTCAATGCAGAGGCCCATACACCGTCATCTGACGGCTTCACAACATCGGGTCCGAAAGCTAGCATAGCTAGCCTCTACCTTCTTTCCAAGGGGCGCTGCTGGGTGACTTTGAAGCAAAGAACAGCATCTCCTGAGAATCGCCAACGGCAGCTTGCAAGATTGGTGAGTACTGTGCCACACAACTGAGCATACGCCCAGTGTCTCATTCAATGTCAGGAAAGCAAAAACACCCCAGCTCCAGTGGACCAAAAACCTGTTTTGCCGGTAAGCTATGGATCCAAATCTCGCGTTTGGAGCTCTGGCCCTCGTGAGTTCGCAAGTAGACTTCCCTTGAGCTGCGCTGTATTGACAGCGCAGGTCCAGCAAGCCTCAAGCCCCTGCGAATTTCGCATGCGCATCAGTCGCATCATCTCCAAACAAGATGAAGTCAACTGCTCTTGCGACCCCACCACTCCGAGCCATTTCGTGGTTCAGATCGCGTGCTGCAAGCCGGAAAGAGTTCCCAGGGTCAAGCATCTGCCGAATGGCCAATCGAAGAGCTGGCGCTGACAAGGTTTCATTAGGAAATTTGAACGATACCGCGGCACCGGTGTCCGCCAAAGCATCGGCATTGAAGGGCTGGTCTCCGAACATGGGCACCACTACCAAAGGCAAGGCAAAACCCAGCGCCTCGTGGAGACTGTTGGCTCCCCCATGCGTAATGAACACGTCACACTTTTGAAGCAGCTGCAGCTGTGGTACAACTTCCTGGAGAATGAAGTTGTCAGGAGCAGGAGGGAGACCATCGAGGGCATCGATTTGGGGCCCGATGGCTGCAACAACCAAGATGTCCTCCTCATGCCTGAATGCCTCGAATGCCGAATTTAGGACGAATTGGACAAACTCCTTGCCACTGAAAGCTTGCAAGCCGTTGCTTTCTGCAGTCGGGCCAAACTTTCGTCCCCAGAATGATGAGGTTGCCACGCTACCCATTGATAAATAGACGACGTGCTTTGACTGTCGCCTGGCCTCATCGATGGTATTCCACGGAAGCTTCTTGTCTAGCTGTTCTGCAGAAGCCCAGGCATGCGAAATCCTTGCTTCCTCAGAGGCGATCATGGGCCCAACACATCGAAAAGGCACATTCGACAGGCGGTCGTTTTGCAAGCTTGAGGATGGAGGTGCAAATAAGCGTTCGAACGTCGCGACCGTGTTTCGCTCCATCGAATAGAACTCGCCGACGAGGCCATGCTCAAAGATGTCGACGCCGTACATCTGCTCGATCTCTTGTGCTGCTCGTTGAACCGCTGGATTAGTCTCCCACTGCAAGCTTACAGATGCCTGACAGCTCACCACACCAGGGCCAGTGTAGGTCAGCAGGCTAACTGACGGGATGTGCAAATGCCGGGCAACAACCAAGCCCTGTGGCAAAAACGGGTCGTACAAAATCAGCGACGGTCTCGGGTGCAGATTTTCCATGTCACTTAGCAGGAATGGGAGAATTGCAGCGGCCACGGGCACCGCACTGGCCGGGAAGAGGCACGCAGTCTTGTCCAGGCCAGGTAGATACTTTGTTGCTTGCTCCTCAGTCAAGTCATGGGGCCTTTGCATTTGGCGCCAGTTAGCACCGGTGGCTTCCACCACCTTGCGGAACTGCGCATGGACGTAGTAGGTCACTATCACTCCACGCGATGCCATCTCCGCCACGATTGGCAGGGAAGGATTTACGTGACCCGTTGACGGCATCATGACAAACACTACATGCCTCTCTGACATTTTGGCAGCGAGTGAGGCAGTCACAGGTCACAAGCCCTTGAAAGACAACAGCTGCAGCCCATGAAAGCTAGCCTTGTGAGGGTCCCTAGAGGCCTGTGGCTTCTGGGAGGTTTCAGCACAGTGAGCCGCGAGCCAATTATCGCTCCTGCCTGATTCCAAGGTCCTCTAACTCTAAGCTCTAATATTTGCAGCAAAGACTCCCCACTCTTGACGTACTTCTCGGCAATGGGGGTGACAGCTTCGAGGATGCGTTTTTGGAGAGCTGGCTCGCAACCTGAGGCGAAGAAAGCCCCTTTGACTCCAATGTTTCGATACATGCTCAATGTGCTCGTAGACCAGGCCCTGGCAAAGACCTGCTTCCGCCGGGCATGTATCTAAGATCTGCCCAAGTGGCTCTCGAGCATGAGGCACATGCATGGTGTCTCGTTGATGCCCTGCAGGCATAACAGTGGGGTGCAGCTCCAAGCTAGACTGCTGCCCCCCATAATAATTTGCAGCGGATATGGCAAAGAATGTATTCTGGTCCTAACACTCCTATCTATGATTTGATCCATCAGTGCAAAGTGCACTCGGCAGCAGTTCACCAAGACAAAGACCCTAGGCTGCTCGGAGCCCGAAACCCGCCTCCGGATCTTCGAGGCTTCCAATGACGGGAGGGTGCCAGGGAAACTCGCCTTGGGAAGCATCGATTCTTTGACGGTTTCAACGGGCAAATGACGTGTGGCCCCTGTCAATATGTTGTGACAAGATTTGCCCTGTCTTGGTTTGACTTAGATTCTCTCTCCTACCCTTCCCTCTGCTCCTTCTCCTTCTCCTTCTCCTTCTCCTTCTCCTTCTCCTTCTCCTTCTCCTTCTCCTTCTCCTTCTCCTTCTCCTTCTCCTTCTCTTTCTCTTTCTCTTTCTCTTTCTCTTTCTCTTTCTCTTTCTCTTTC